TTACTTCTCTCTCTCTCTCTCTCTCTCTCTCTCTCTCTCTCTCTCTCTCTCCTTCTTCTTCTTCCCTCCTCCCCTCCCCTCCCTTTCTCTCTTTCCCTACCCTTTCCTCCTTTCGTATTTCCTTTTATTTCTCAAAATTTTAGTTTGTTTGTTCCGGTCATATATCCGGAAAAAAATCTTGTCTTCTATATAATATTCAATTATTAAAATTGACGAGGATCTCTCTATTTCGAATAATTAATTTTGATTTTGTTGGTTTTATTATGTTTATAGAAAACAAAAAAAGATATATTTTATGAATGAGATAAAGAAGAAGAAAAAATTTATTTTATATTTATATATTTATATATTTAAATATGTTTTTTAAGTTAATATTTTAAGTTTCTAAGGATATATATATATTTCAAAAATTGTAGTTAATACTATTATGTTAAAATAATAACTGAAATAATAGCTGTTGCGATGTCAAGCAATGGATTTAAGTTAATTAATAATAATTATTTCATATGAAGCTAAATCAGTCTCAATTCCGGTTTATTTCAGCTATTATTTTAAATTTATTGATTTAATACCATTGACTTAATTCTCTTGAATCGATACATACATCGTAATATGTTTCAACATGTATAGGGAATTTATATTTCAAATTTAAGCGACATTTAAACAGTAAAGAATATAAAAATTATTTAAATTATCTGGACATTATTATATATCATATAAGCTTCTTTTTGAACAAGAGCTGAATTTGTATTTTTTTTTATTCTTATTAATTATATTATTTTTTTATTTTTATAATACTTTATATTTTTTTATGATTCGGTTGATGATATTTTTAATACATTGCTGATCATATTTACATTGACATATGTATATATATGTATATATATTTATGGATGATCAAAAAGTAATATTATAATTTACTTTTTCAAAAATCAATAAAGATATTAACATCATTTTTTTGAGAAAAAAATTTATGTTCTAAATTTTTTAAATAATAATTTTTTTAATTTTTGTTAAAAATATTTGGAGAAAATTTGGAGAAAATCTTTGAGAAAGCGAAAACGAAAAGATGATAAAAATCTTGTACTTTTAAAAACTTATTTTTTAATAAATTAAATATTTTCTCTGAATAAATAAAAAATTATAAAGTAATAAAATATTGCTTGTGCATTCTTTACTTGTGTTACTTCATTAGTATTATTAAATGTTCAAATAAATATCTATAAAAAACATAAAATTATATAAAATTATCATTTAACTACAAAAAGTGCAAATAATCGATTGCTACTTAAAAATTTCTGATAATTTTTTTTTTATTATTTATTATTTATTTTTTTTAGTTATTATTTTAAATTCAAAATATGTATTTAAAAAAATAAATATAAAAATTAAATATATATAGTTGAATTTAACGTACATGTATATTATTTTTTTGTTTTATTATTTTTTGTTATATTATTTTGATACATTTTATGCAATAAAATTATTGTTGTAATAGTTTTAAAAATAATATTGGATATATTTTTAATTATAATTAAAAAGCAATCGTATTCGATTGTAGATCATAAAATTGAATCTACATATATTTGTTATTTATAACTTTTTTAGGCTTTATTAAGATATTTTCGTTTTTTTCTTGTCATTTACTTTATTTTTCATTTCCAAGAATAATATTAAAATATAAGAATAAATAGTACTATTTTTTGTATAAGTTTTTACAAATATAGTAAAAGTATTAAACTGTGGATTTTTATACAAAGTAAAATTTTTATGAACATAGATAAAAAAACGGAATTTAAATAGTGATTTTCTTTATTTTTCAAATATAATAATATTTATTATATTTTGGATATTTTTTGTATATAATATGGTAAATTTATTTATATTTTGTATAGATTTCATAGATTTTTGTATATTTAAATTTTATAAAAATATCTATTTTAATAATATAAATTTTTTTTAAGATTTAGATGATTTTAAAAATTTAGATTTAGATTAAAAATTTGTATTTATTTATATAAAAATTTATATAAAAATTTTGATGCTATAGATATAATACCAAAAGATATAATAAACCTGAATATATTTATTAGAAGAATAATAATATATATTTCTTTCAGAATTATCTGTCATTTTCTGTTTAATTGATATGAAATTCTAAAATAAGATGTATTAATTGAAAAATAAAATATTTTTTATTGTGTTAATTTTAAATATTTTTTAAATATTATAACAAGAAATTATATTATTTTAAAATACTTATTTCTTAATATCTAAAGTTATAAAAATAATAATTATTTTTTTAGACATATTGTATTTTTATTATGATAAAGGACATTAATATATTTAAGAATCACTTTTAAAGTTCAAAACAAATATAAAAATTTCTATATAAAAATGTTAAAGCTTATTTATTAAAACAATTTATTATTTATTGTAAACAATTTAAACTCGTATATTGATTAAATTGATTAAAACTATTCGCGAACTGTTCATGAATTAATCAAGCAATTTGCTAATAGAATAATATTATTTAAACTAGAATTTTTAAGCTCACAAGCAATTGCAGAATTCGTGAAAATGATGTTAAAAAATTCGTTAAACAAAATACATTTCATATATGGTTTTGAATTCGCGAACAGATTTTTTGATATACTATCTTCTAATACTAATCATTGTTCATTATGATACGTGTTTGTAATTCGCTGAAGTTGTTCACACTATTGTGTTCTGATTAGTGTTATATTGTTGTGAACTATTTGCGAATAGCAATATAGATACGGCATTCGATAAAGAGAGATGGGATTAAAATAAAATAGCGATGTAACAGAAATAATATAATCTCTTTATATCTCTCATGCAAATTGCAATTGCTTATAATTTAATAAATAACTTTTAATTGATATTTTTATATATTCATTTTTGATCTCTTGAATTGACTCTTTAAAAATATTTTATATTTTAATAATCTGTATTTTTTTTTTAAAAGCTTCAACTTGTTTTTAGTAAAATAGATATTTGAAATAATAGTAAAATGATTAAAGCAATAGTAATTTTTTATTATATATATTATATAATACATTATTATATATATTATTAATATCATTTTACAGGAAAAAGTTATTTTAGAAGCAGATACTGTTTTCTTATTAATGAAGAAAGGATTTCCTATATCCCGAAATGTAAGAGCACAGTGGATGTTAGAACATTTAGATACTGTAATAAGTATTCAATGTTCAAATTTCAAAACTAAGGAAGCTGCAGAATTAGAAACTGTATCTGTGCTACCAAAAAATAAACCTGAATCTTGGTCTTCTGAAACAAGTCACCAGTATCTATATAAAGTGACTTCTACAACTTCAATAATATTTTTGGCTCATAAGTACAGGATGGTGTTTAATTTGGACTTAAGTCCATCTCTTGCAACTGTGGTAAGTAATTTCAAATTCAACAAAATGATTAAAATAAAATTTTTTTTTATCAACAATTGCAAATTATGATGAAACTTATGCGAAACGAAATTATGGAAATATAAATATAATGTTGAAATAAATAAATAAATAAGAATAATTGTATGTCAATATGAACATGCAAAAAAATATTAAAGAAAAATTAATATTCTAAATTTTTTTTCGATGGAATTTTTGTAGAAATGTTATACATAATAAGAAAACTATATCAAGTTTTTTTTCACTTGATTATTTATTAAATATGATTTATATTGTTTCTATTAAAATTATTATTATTATTATCATTATTATTTCCGTTTTATTAATTTTATTAATGCAACATTTTTTGAAATTGAAACAAAAATTAATATCCTAATATAAATGTTCATTTTGGTGATATTTTTTTTTAAAATGATATATTAATTTTTTTTATTTAAATAATTTATCGAACTTAATAAAATTTTTTTATGAATTAAATAACTGTTTCAATGTATCATTTAATTTAATAAAAAATTATATCAATATCTATAATTTCAGAAAAAACAAATTTAATATTAGTTTTATTAATCATTATATTTATATTTTATTATATATATTAATCATTATATGTTATAATCATATAAAAAGTTTTTTAATAATAAAAATTAAGAAAAAGTAAAAAAAGAGATATGTGCGAAACATTAAAAATAATTATAAACAAAAATTTTTATTTTTAAAAAGAAAAAAATATATTCAGTTTATAAATTTGTTTTCTTAAGTATCTGTTAAGTATACATTAAATGTTTGATAAATAAAAAAATAATTTAAATGTTTCAATATAAATTCAATACAGATTGTAGCACAGTTAATAAATTATATATAATATTGGAACATATTAACGAGTTTTTTATAATATTTTTATAATACATATTATTAGTTTTATACTATAAAAATTAAAACATTTACATTTACTTATTTTAAATTTAATATTATATCATTATATCATTTTATTATAAATATGCATAGTTGTAATTATTGTTTTTTTTTTTTATGAATATGTATTACTTGATTATAAATGTTATACTAGTTATGAAAAAATTAATATATGCATATATAAGCCATTAACAGCTAAAATTATATAAACCTATGTTACATTAGCATTTAATATTGTTTATAAAATATATTTTCGTTTTATTTTTATTTATCTCATTAAATTAATAATTTATTTTTATCAATTAATTTACTAAATTCGAAACTCAAAATAATCAAATATATATAAAATATTATAAATTTTATATTCTACAAATCTACAATATTTAAGTTTTTATAAAAATTTTGTAAATACAATATATAATATATATATATAAAGAAGTATTTCATATATTAGAATAATTGACTTCATACATTATTTGATTTAGAATAAAATTATTATTAAAATATTTTTTATATATTATTCCTTTTTTTTTATAGGATATACAACATGGTGAAATAGTCATAGATGAAGTATATATAGCAACAAAACATTTTTTGGAAAGTATTATCAAACCTGTAAGTAATAACATATTATTTATCTTTATTATTGTAGAAATTTAATTTTATAATAATATAATATATATAATAATATATTTAATAAATCTATAAATCTACATATACATACTTTGAAAATGAAATCAAATTTAATATACATATTTATTATCTTTATTTATTATCTTTGGAGAGTTTCTTCGAATAATCAAATAAATAAAATAGTTGAAATAATTATATAAGAATGTCAATTGAAATTTATTTATTAATTTTTGTTTATTATTATTATTTTTTATTTATTAATTTATTCATTGTGGACAAGTCACAGAGAATTCTCGGATTTTCATTATTATCGATAAAGTATTTATATTAAATATATTTAGCCATTGGTTGACAATGTATTAAGTTAAGTTCAATTCAAATTTGTATCAAATAAAAAAAAGGGAGATAGAATGAAATGATGATATGATAAAGAGAAATAGCAGTCTCATTTTATTACATTATTTCATTTCATCAAACTTTAATTGCTTATAATTTTAAAATAAATAAATTTTTAGAGTTAATCTTTCAAAGATATCATGAATATATTAATATCTTATATGTTTATAATAAATATAGGAAAAGTAATAACAATAAAAAATATAATCTATACATATCTATAAATATAATCTATAATATACAATCTATAAATATACAGTGTTTTAAACATTTATAGATGATTATTTTTATATCAAAAATAAAAAAATATATTTCAAATGAAAATTATATCGAGAGAAATATATTATGATAATTATTTAACTTTAAGATAATCTTAGAGAGATCTATAAAGATCATTTAAATTTTCAGATGAAATCTTACGTTTTTTATTGAATATTTTTGTAATTAATATTAAATCATATTCAAAACAGTACCTTCATATATATTTTTCATAAATTGTTATTGAATTATTGAATTAGTTCAAATTTTATATGCTAATATTAGCGTTATCCAATATACATTATAAGAAGATTGCCCAATTTATATCATAGTGATTTATATATTTATATTTATATATATATGATAATTCTAAAAAGAATCAATTTTGCGATACATTGATAGAAATGAACTAATATTATCTTATTATTCAATTGCATCAAACAATTAATGTTATTAATGAATAAAATTAATAAATGTTTGATATCATTTTTATTTGAAATATTTTTTATTGTTATTATTATTATTTTTGATATTTATAAAAATAATGATACATATAAATATAGACATATTATGTACAATTTATATAAAAGTATTTTTATTTCAAAATTATTTAATGAATATAATCTTTATATTATATAGAGAATATAATCTCAATTTTTAAACTTCAATTTAATATCTTTGAACATCGAATATTTTTTTTTCTCTGAATCATTATATTTTAATTACTTTTGTTATTTAATATTCTCATTATCATCTATGACTTCTATTATTGGTCTTAAATAAAATATAAAATATTTATATTAAATATAAAAAAAATTAATTGTTTCATAAAATAATTCTTCAACATTCCCAATTTCCTTTTTTAAATAATCTGCAAATAATATTCAATAATATTCTGAACATTTAGTTTTAAATAATAGGATTTAATAATCCTTAGTAGAATTCAATATTTCAAAATTTTATATTTCATTAATATATAATTTAATATAAATTTATTTTTTTTTCTCTATAACTTTGATTTGAAATTAGATAAATCGAGATAATGTCTTTAAATTATTTTGTTTATTTTTTTAGAGTAGGCACTTAAAACTTAATATGATTTTATATTATATCAGTAAAGCTATATCGAAACCGATATTGTATCGAAATACTTAAATATCGAAATCGAAATAAATATAATTTTTTTTTGTATATTATAAGATTAAGATTTTTCGATTTAAAATGCGTATAAAATTAGAATTTATTTGTATAAAAATAATAACATATACTAATATATTATATTAAGTATATTCACTTTTATCGATTCTTCGATTTCTTCATTTTTATTAATATTTCAGTTATTTATAATTTATAATTTATTTTTAATTTATAAAATATAAATTCAGATTTATATTTTTTTCATATTTTTAAAATCTTCAATTCTTAATTGTTTAAACAAAATAATTTAGATAAAAATATATGTAAAATAAGATATATAAAAAGAGAATTGCTAATGAGAATTGCTTTACTTTTGTTTGTTTACTACGTTTACTTTTTTAATTAAAATAAATAACATGTAAATATTAATTAAACATAAATATATGTTAAATTTATCTCTTTAGTATTAATCACTAATTCTCTTTGGTATTTGGAATATCGTCATTTTTTTCAAAATTTTAAAATAATTTTTTTTAAAAAATATGTATCTAAAAATTTTCTCAATATATTTATAATATTTAACATTTATATAGATATGTAACATTTATATAGTATTATCACATTTTTTTTATCCAACTTTCTTAACATTTTTCCGATATCGTCTGCTTTATATTTATTTTCGCATACTTGAAATTGACTTATTATTACTTATCATTCATTTTTATTAATATTTCAGTTATTTATAATTTATAATTTATTTTTAATTTATAAAATATAAATTCAGATTTATATTTTTTTCATATTTTTAAAATCTTCAATTCTTAATTGTTTAAACAAAATAATTTAGATAAAAATATATGTAAAATAAGATATATAAAAAGAGAATTGCTAATGAGAATTGCTTTACTTTTGTTTGTTTACTACGTTTACTTTTTTAATTAAAATAATAACATGTAAATATTAATTAAACATAAATATATGTTAAATTTATCTCTTTAGTATTAATCACTAATTCTCTTTGGTATTTGGAATATCGTCATTTTTTTCAAAATTTTAAAATAATTTTTTTTAAAAAATATGTATCTAAAAATTTTCTCAATATATTTATAATATTTAACATTTATATAGATATGTAACATTTATATAGTATTATCACATTTTTTTTATCCAACTTTCTTAACATTTTTCCGATATCGTCTGCTTTATATTTATTTTCGCATACTTGAAATTGACTTATTATTACTTATCATTAGATATTATATATATAAATATTGCACAAAAATAAAAATTTGCATAAAACAAATTTGAAGTTAAATATTTTTGATATTCGTTTTTTAATTTTTTTATATATTTCTTTATATATAAAAATTATATTACTTTTTTATATATTTTGAATATAGTCTTTGAATAATACTAGGTATAATTTTATAATAAAAAATCATGAGTTATGAATTTTGATATTTTTGATTTTTATCACATTTTCGATATTTTATCTATATACTACAGTTTGAACATTTTTGTGTTTGAAAGTATAAGAATAAATTTTTTTTCTTTAAAATATCTTCATATTATTATTATTATTCATTCTGATATTAATAAAAACAAGGAAATAACTTTTTTAATTCATTAAATGTTTCCTATATTATTAATTCTTTTACACGGAAGATGAAATATCTGAAATATTTTTGTAATGTCGTTTGAATGAATTGAAAATATTTGTAATAGAATATTTAATTAATGTGATGTTATGGATGAGATTTTCGTAATGAAGAGGTAAATATTTCATTCAAAAATTTACATAAAAATTAATTTATAAAAAATTGAAAAAAGGACAAATATCAAATTGAACGAATATAATATTAATTCTTTTATTTTATTTTCTAAAAAATAATAATTAATTTTTATTATCGAATCGAGTTAATAAATAAAAATTTAAATTTTAGATTTAGAAATTTAGTCAGAAATTGTAATGGCAGAAAATAAACCAAGCAAATAATAAGAATAATTTTTGGTAATAAACGTTGTATTTTTGAACAAAAATTGAAGCATTTTTTTTAAAATATAAAAAAATATAATGAATATTTGACAAATATAAAGGTAAATGAATATAGAGATTCCAATATATATATTATAATTTAAAATATTATTCTGTATATTTCATTGATCAATTCATTGATTGTCTCATTGATTAATTTTAATAAACATCATTAAATATAAGCAGAATATTAATTATACTAGTTTATATTAACTTCTTATTTTTTTACATACAAAAAACTATTATTTTATTATATTTTTTATATCAAATTATTTTTTTTCTTTTTCAATTTATATATAAAATTTTAGCATTTAGCTTATTATTTATGAAAAAATATTAAAAGAAAAAATTATTCAAAAAAGTAAATATGATGATAAACAAAACATTTTTTCGATTTCAAAGTTATTTTTTTTTAAAGATTTCATTTAAGTTTTTTTTAAATAAAATTATATATTTTCAATACGATAAAGTCAAAGTGCATCCAACGACTTATAATATTATGATTTTGAATATAAATTAAAAAACTAAATTAAAAAAGAAAATTCAAAAAATTGGTTAACTGATGATAAATACTGATAAATAATTGATAAAATTTTATTTGATAATTATTTAAAAATTAATGAAAAAAAATTATTTTAAAATAATGTTAACATCAATATGTCACGTTAGCTATCGCAACATAGAAATGTGTAAGAAAGTTTTGTATAGTGTAAATATATATACAACAAGCTAAGGTTCGTAATATTTCAAGTATAATATTTTTAATATAGCACATATACAGTCATTATATATATTTCATCAAAGCAAAAATTCATGGCTATTATACTGATTCTTACTGATTCTTAATCAGTTAACCTAAATATGAAACCTGATATTAAATCATTGAAAATATTAAATGATTGCAAAATATCAGAATCTCATAATAAAAATACATTTATAAAAACTCCAATACTATCACCGATATTTTTAGAGAATATATTGGACATAAACTATGAACTTACTGGATATTGTTGTTATAAAAAAATGAATATATTTTAAAAGCAAACAATTTTGACAAAGTGAAAATTCTTCCTAAAAGTGCAGAGGCATATGGAAAAATTGTTTTCAAACATTTAAAAACATTAACACTTTCACTTTTCCGCCGCACCAAAAATGT